TCCTCCTTTTCGGTGGGTTTTTATATTAAAAAGGCATCAAAATGGGAAAAACCGCCCTTGGTATCTCTGCATCTGTTAAACTTTTTATGGGAAGATGTATGAAAATTCAACTTGCTATAATTTCATATGCTTAACAGTATCACAACAGTATGTTTACAGTATCTCCCCATAACTTTTCATATGAAAAAATTTATTATATGCATCCCACTCCATATCATTGAATTCCTCATTAGAACATGTAGTCCCTCTATTTTAGCGTATCAACAGTTCATATGGCTTCATACCATGTAAATGCGCCATAATTCTCTAATCGTTCTCGAGTCGGTGACGAACTTTAAGCATAAACAGACGGCAGCGTTGATCCGCATCAACTCGGAAATTAACTGCAGTTGATCCGGATTAAGCCCGAGTTAAGTCCGAGTTTATGCTTTTAGAGAACCACATTATAATTCGATTCGAGAACGATTAGAGAAACAACGCAAATTTAAATAAATGTAAACAAGCAATATTTCAAATGAATGATCATAAATATTGTTTAAGTTCAAACAATTCATTATTATTTTATTGCAAGTACATCTATTACAAATTTTACAAAGAAAGCATTTTATTTAATATGAATACGCCCTTATCTACAACCAGCACATAATTTTGACAATCTTTACAACCGTAGAGCAAATCTAACACCCCTTTTGCGAGTGTCTAGTAGTAGATAAACGACTGTTACTCGATTATCGATTATTCGTGGTATTTTCAAAGTCGTTATCTCGTTCAATAAGTGCGTGTGAATAGTTTATAGTCGCTCTGCCTTCTACAAGCAAACAGTTTTAGAAAAATTAACGATACAAAACTATTCACAGTCGCTTATTGAACGAGAATACACATAAACTTTGGGCCGAATTGAGATTTGACATAACACCCGCAATACAAAATACATGTAATTTTTGTTGTTGTTGTAATATAAATTCACCAGCAAATCACATTGTATAACTTTGTTGTTGTTGTAGCGGCTTCAACAACCCCGCTCAGATCGGTTAATAGCCCAGTCGTTGTCGTCAAGTTCCACCTCAATAGGGTCGTCCACAGGTACAAAGGCGTTAGGGTTGTTGGGTTTTCCGGGCTTACGAAAAGATGTTTCGAGTCATGAGGTGTCTCTCCGCATGCCGGACTTTCATTTGGTACATCTGCGTTTAGTCAGCTCAGGTATGGGTTTAACCTGCTGCAGTAGCCAGAGTGAAGTTGGGCTATTGTGGTTCTGGTCTCTCGAAGCAGATGAAGCTCAGTTCAGTGAATGTCCGGTGGTTGTGCGCCTAGAACGGCATTCACAGGTTTGGAGTCTACATAACTCGCGACTGACTCCCTGTGAATGCCGCTCAGGTCTTGTCTATAAGCTGACGGGCCCAGAGGTTGTTTAATGAACCTCTCTTATCGGTCGATAGGAATCTCCTTTGTTGGTTGGGTCCCCGGTTTGAGCAGTGGGACCACTCTCCCCAATCTCGCGTGGTGCGCAGACCTGAACATGCCCTAAAGTGGCACCAGCCAGGCAGGTGTTGCACTTGAATGATGTCACATTACGGAATATCCTGGTCTGACATGCCGTGCATATTGTAGGAGGAACCAGGAGTTGGCGGCGGCGTGTGGGTAGTGGTGCCGTTGAGTCTGTTATGTGCCCTGTGGTTAAGGGGTGGTCTATTGTGTTGTTATGTTGTTATTTGGTGCTGTGGTGTCTGTGTTGAGCTGCTCAGGTGGACTGGGGTTAGCCGTGGAGGCTGCTCTGTTTGAGCAGCAGGGGGCCACAAACGATGTGGTCCACTGCCGATGTGTCCGTAATCCTGAGCAGACTCTGAGGTGGAGTTGTGGTGTAGTCGTCTCTGGCATACACAGCAGCTGTAGATTTCTGGTTCTGGATTTGACTCGATGCCAGCCATGAGCAGAAGAATACGTTGCAGATGTAGCCCTATGGACGATAGATAGATAGATTTGTTAGAGGATGGGCACTGCGACCTTAGGTCTATTGTGCCCTCATAGCTCATCACAACACCTCGTCCAGCCCTAGTGCTCGATGAAAGCAAGCGTTTGCCTTCTTGACACCGCGTCACGTTTTAAGATGATGTGCCGCGGGGTTTCTGGGACCCTGTCGCAATAGCGGCAGGAATCGTCTGCGCTAATCCCTAAGGTATGCATATGGGCCCGCAGCCTGCAGTGACCAGTTAGCAGTCCTGTTAATAAATCTTAAATTAGTCTTGTTGAGTGTAATTAGTTCTCTGGATCTTCTGGGATTATAGCTTCCTAGAAGTTCTTTCGCCTGCCTTAATCCAGACGTGTTCTGATCAGGTTTCGTTCCTCTACTCTTAACTCTTCCCTGATAGTGTGAGGACCAACTGCAAGGAAGGGTTCTGGTCCTATGGGTCGAGTGGCTGCTGCTTCCCTAGCTAGCTTGTCTGCCTCCTCGTTGCCCTTACACCTTTGTGGCCCGGGACACACATCAGCTGTACTGTGTTGAGTTCCCCCAGGGCGTTTAGTCTCTTTACACATTCCCATACCAACCGTGAATTAATTTCACACGACGATACGGCTGACTGTCGCTGCAGATGATGTGCTGTTTTCTTGGTTGCCTCTGCAGAATTACTTCCGCACAAATATCGATGGCAGAAACCTCCGCCTGAAAGAAACTGGTATAAATCAGCTGATCTAACAACACCACTTTGTATAAAATCGCCTTGTATAAATTCGTCATATAAGGTGGTGTTGCAAGGCGATTTGTGAATTAATATTTCAAGTTCTTCTTCGTAACTAACAAGATTTACAATACGAGTAACTTTTTCCGGTGAATAATGGAGCCGTCTCGAGCCAATTATACATCGAAATCAGTTTTTCGAAACACCGAAACATCTCTCAAATACATTACGAGCTTTCGAGTGCTTTGTGTTGTAATTTCGTTGAATTCCATCTGCTGGGCGTCATCAAGTATGGCTGCAAGGGGTAACCAGAATCACCTTCAACAATTTTCATTGTTAGTAATAGTTTTATAGCCTTTTTAAGTTTTAAAACTTACCGAGTAGCCATGTGTTGGTTTTGGCATTGTTATAATCAGATTTTAGCTCCTGTTCTGCGCGACTCACATCCCAAACAAATGAATCATGATTCGCCCCTGGATGCCTAGCATCAACAAATGTAATGACCATGTTGTGATCGGATATCTGTAAGGAAACTCAGTTTGTTTATGTGTATACTTGTAAAGATAGTAAATCATTAACCTACCGCCATTAAATTAAGACTGCAAAAACTCTGGCGGTTAAGGTATAAATGGTGGTTGTCACTTCCTGGCGACTTAATACGAACGTGTGTTCCATCAACACAACCAATAACCCCAGGTATTTCGTATTTCTCAAAGAAATATTCTTTAACAGCATTTTCCTCATCGATGTTTCTCGTAAAATTCAACCATTTCTGGCAAAAGTGGTCCTCAAAAATATTTAGGCATTCCCTGGCTGCAGTTGACTGCCCCATCGACGAAATATTTTCGTTACAAACAGATTTTTGGTAACTGACGGTGGCCAGAAATCTTAAAAAAGTCGCGAGTTTCAGCTGGTGCGGTAGGTGGGTGCTTCTACATATGTGCTGGAGCCATGTGCTCTTTTAATTTGTTTAATATGTATTGGAATATTTCTTTATTGATTCGGAAATTTGCAACAAATCTAAAAACGAATAACTTGTAGCATACAAAAATTATTTGCTAATCTTGAACTCACTCAGTCTCAGGTAGTTCCATTACATTGGTGTGGTCTCGCAATCTCCTCCTCTGTATCCGCCTTTCCCTCTCTTCAGATTCTTCGGCGTCCAATAGCGCTATAGCAGTATGTATATATTTTTAAAAATTAATTTTCCTTATATTTATTTCTTTCCGCAACACAACCAAGCACTTTTAAGCAAAACCAAAATCTAAACAATTCCGATTTGCCCATTAGAAATAAGCTGAAAATATTAGAAATCTAAGAAAAAATCTTTGAAAGTACATCAAAATTTCATCCGGCAACATCATACAACGTAACCGAAATGATTGCAACGTAAAGACAAGACGAAGACGAACGACAGAGTTACAAAATTGTAATCCGTGACGATATCGCCCACAGACGAATCGTTCGTGCGGCCTATCGTTCGAGATACATAATAAGGCTGGTAAGCTTTTCAATTGCATCAACCGTGTCTTTGCTATCTATCTTTACGCTATCACGACAAAATCACATATGATCGTCTGTGGCAAACGACAGCGAGCACGTTGGCGCGCATGCTCGCACACATGTTCGTCGTGTGTGGCCACTGTAAGGGAGCCGACATTGTCAAGAGGGAGCGAGAAAACTGTTTTCTGAGTAAACCTTTTATTATTGAATCATGAATCGCGAGTACTTTCAACAGAAATTAAACATTTATTAAACAGAAATTGTTTATCTTACTCCATTTTTTCTCTCCAATCAATTATGACATTATTCACAAACGGTATGTTAGACGGTCTGCGGTCGTGTATTTTGCCTATAAGAAAAAAATTTTCTCAAATTCTCTCAACCAGAGAAATAACTTTCTTTAAAATACATACGTTTCAATTTCTTACTGGTAATGGTAGGGTTTCCAAAATCGACTCTGGTTGCTATGGCATTCCGATTACGAATGCAGTTTTTTCAGCCAAGTACCTTTCAAATCATTGAAATTAAAAGTGAACAAGTATTTATTTACATTTTTCATTAAAAAATCGTTAAAGTTTAAACGAAATTTTTTATTAAAATTATCGTCAACAAAATAGCAACTACATGCGACAATCATATGTTTTTCGTTATTGCAAATTTTCTTGCTGGCAAAATTTTTTTTCAAAAAGGGCCATTTTGGTGGAGTTTCCAAAATCGACTCTGGTTGCTATAGCATTCCGATTACGAATGCAGTTTTTTCAGCCAAGTATGTTTCAAATCATTGAAATTCAAAGTAAAAAATTATTTATTTACATTTTTCATAAAAAAATCGTTAAAGCTTATAAGTTTTTAAATTAAACGAACTTTTTTATTCAACTTGGTGTCAAATTAAAAAAATAAAAAATTGCAATTTTGCTTGTGCGCATGTAGAAGTGCGCCTTGATAATCAAACAGTCGGCCGATATCCGTATGTTCGGATATTCGTGTATACGGACTAATTCAAACAGTCGGCCGATATTTTGGTTTGAACGCAATCGGGTGCACTTCTATTTAATCGGCCGGGATTAACTTACAAAAAAAAAATAAAAAATAATAAATTCTCAAAAATCAAAGCGATTTTTTATCAGTTTTGCAAAGAGTTTAGACATTTTATTTTCATGTTTTTTGTTGTAATATAAACCATTTTTTTATAAAAATAAATAAGAAAATAATTTTTTTGTAATTTTCACATTTTTTGTAATTGCCGGTATTCATATTACATCAAAGCAAAATCTGTTTTTGTTATTTTATGGTCTTATAACAATTATATTCAACAATTTTTATTGAGCTTGAGGCCGTTTTTTAATGAAAACTTATTGTGCAAAAGCAACAATAATTTGAAAAAAATGGTAGAAGTGATAGCTATTTCGGAAATCATCACATTTCCTCGTCAGACTTCTTTCAATAGGATGCGAACCGACGATCCCACTGACTCAGCCAGTTGCCTACGCACGGTGCTAAGCTCGCCTTGTTAATTCTTGTTGCTTATTTCCACTATTTCACTTGTTAAGCCAACTACAATCAAGCTATTCATCATGTGATCATGTGGTTGTTGGTTTTGTTGGTTTTTGTTAAATTTTCTATTATTCAGGCAGGTTCTGTAATTCACTTCCGAGTGAATTTCAATAAAATTCGCTTTAAATTCAAATTGGCAGGTGTTGAAATTCACTCGGAAGTGAATTGCAGAACCTACTTGATTAGAATGTTTAACTTTTAGGTGTGCTCGTCCTTAATTCATTTGTTTTTGTTATTTTATGGCCTTATAACAATTGTATTCAAGAATTTTTATTGAGTTTGAGGCCGTTTTTTAATGAAAACTTATTGTGGAAAAGCAACAATAATTTCTACCATTTTTTTCCAACTTCTACCATTTTTTCAAATTATTGTTGCTTTTCCACAATAAATATTCATTAAAAAACAGCCTCAAGCAATAAAAATTGTTGAATAAAAAAAAAATAATTTTTCATTTAAATTGCTTTCGTGCAACTGGCTATAAGTCGGAAAAGCTGCTAACGCAAATTCGAAATTCCTAGATTGGCATTATTGAATCCGTTCGTAATAAGGCTGTGTCTATTCGTATGTTCGGATATTCGTGTATACGGATTAACTCCGGATATCCGGTTATTAACCGTTCCATTTTGTTATCCGAGTATCCAAATAATATCCGGATACTCGGGCTCCTCCAAGCCCTAGCTCGTAATGAGTTTTCGTAAAAATTTTCTACATGTTTGTACAGGGTGGCGCCGAACAACTGTCGTACAGGTTTTTTTGAAAAATAAAAGGGTCCTTTACAGATTTTGCGAAAAAAGTATTTAATTGTTAATTTTGTACCTACATACATGTTTAACTTAAATTTTATTAACAAGTTTTAAAATTTCAATCCTTATTTGCATTTGCTAGCAATGTTAGCATTGGGAGATACACCTGCGTTCAACTTATTAGAAACGAAATTCAAAATGATATTGTTTGCAAATTATGTTAATTTTTTTTATTTTTAATAATTTTAAATTTTTGCAGTCTTTAAAACCTTTATTATTGTGGTTTCTGTTACAGATTGAATTATATTTTAAATGAAAATTATTAAAAATAAAAAATAAGCATAATTTGCAAACAATATCATTTTGAATTTTGTTTCTGATTAGTGGAACGCAGGTGTAAGTACGTAAGCGGCACGCAAGTCTTTTTCAGGTGGATTTATTCAAAAGACTTCCTATAAAAAAAAGGAAAGAAAAGAAAAAATGGATAGGGTTATTGGAATGAATGGCCGTCCTATTCACCAGTTCTGAATCTATTCGATTTCTGAGTATGAAAACTTATGGTGGACAAAGGTATAAAAAGTACAAAGGACTCAGAATGGAGGAAATCGGCGTACGGCTACAGAATTAGTAGTTTTCTTATCGATTTATTATTGCTGCAGGCGATATTTGGGATAATTTTATTCTTTTTAATACTTCATTTATTTTTTGTATGCAACATTGGAACGCATGCTGGATTTCCACTAGGCCTTAAATGGCAAAAATTACAAAGTTAAAAAATAATCGTGTCATTACGTTAAAAAATAGTCATTAAGCTCATTTCCATATGGCATTTTTTTAAATGGCATAAATTTTTCGTCATTTCAATGCCTAGTGGAAATTCGGCATTAAAAACGAAATTAAATATATCTCTCGCTATGGGGCTTCCTACTTTTTCAGTCCTTCCTTTGGCATAAATTGGATGCTTTTAGAAATGCTCTGTCGCGAAATTCAATCGGTTTGGGAATTTTTGATAACTTTTTAATTTCGAAAATTACATGAAAGTCATATGTATGAAAACCTGAAATCAAGCTGCTAAAGGCGGTCTTACACGATTGGGATGGGACCAAACTTTGGGCACAACAATTTTTCTTTATCCCAATCACGAAAAAAACTGGTTAAAAATTGTCAATAAAAGTTTGCTGTATTATACCAATCGTGTGACTAAATAAAAAAAATTGTTGTCCCAATATTTTTATTTTGTACCAATAGCCCAATATGAAAGATGTACAATTATGTACAGATGTACCAATTTTATGACACTGCCTTAACGATAAAAATCGATGGATACATAAACACAGTGTAATAATAAAAAATAAACTATATTGTACGTTACTATTTCGTTTCGTTTATTACTTTAACAGTTCGGTACAATACGAAACAAAACGGCTGAGTTCACTTTGGCGATAGTACACTACAGTAGTTTAGTAGTTACAGACGAAACAACAAACGAAATGAATCGTGCAGGGAAAATATTTTTATGTATGTACATATATGCAATAAACAAATACAAAACGAATGGCTGCAATGAATAAAAAAAATAAAAATGTTTTTTAATTGAATTGGATATGAAAATTTACAGAAAAAATTATTTTTCACGTAATTGAAACGTTTGCATACATATAAAACGTACCCTATGGTACAATTGTCACAAACGAAAAGCAAACGTTTCTCGTTGGGGAAAATGACAGTGAATCTTACAATTTGTTTCTGACTATTTACAAAACTGTACAAAACCACAAATGATATGATGATCGATGAGCAAATGGGAATTGTTTTGTACAGTTTATTTTCGTACCCTGCATAAACACGTTTGGAATGGTCAAATAAAAATGTGCAATAATTTGTTGTATAAAATAGGGGCAGAATATAATGATGCTCATACGCCATGTCGTGCGTGGCCGTACTCGTACATGGCGTATGAGTAACACTTTCCATGTTAGATAAAGTTTCCTTTTTTTGTTCGCAATGCAAAATTAAGTTTGCGCGTCTCGGTATTTTTTGTGTGTCATTTTAGTCTTCTTACAGTGTTATTAATAAAAATAATTTGCGTCAAAATCACTGAGTAGACACTTATTCTTATATAATTTTTTTATACATTTCAGGTTAGCGTTGCCAGATACATTTTAAGTTTGGCGTGAAATTTTCAACTGGTAGGGGCAGCTGTTTATGAGTCTTCATCGAGACGCAGCTGAAAACAAAAAAACTATTAGTTTAAATTCATAATATGAAACGTAGTGCTTCAGGAGATTCTCCGACTAGAGGAAATCATTTAGGACGACCATCACACGGTAGAACAATCATGGGTCGTGGTTATGACAATGGCAGCGGTGTGCCGGGCGATTCGCCCGAACGCATGTCTCCAGATCGCATGCGACGTCGTATTGGAAGGTCGCCAAGTCCACGTCCACGGTATGGTGTTTCACCCCATAGAGAGGAGTATTTGCGTGGTCCACCACCAGTGGCGGATAGGCCAACTTATAAAGTGCTATGTGTTAGTGCTTTACATCCGAAAGCTTCAGATGATTTCATCAAGGAAACGTTGTATCGTGAATACAAGAAATTTGGTGACTTCAGCATCCGTATTTCGCATGATTTGGACGAACGTGTAGCTTACGTTTGTTTTCGCACTTCGGAGGATGCACGCGAAGCAAAACATCACAAGCCGCGCATTGTGTTGTACGATAAAATGGCACTAGTGGAACCAGTTTACGAGTCATCTTCACATAATGAATATAGGTTGGTTTTTTAAATTCTATTATAGTTGTTTTAACACATACTATTATGTATTTTATTAAATTTTAGGCCTCGTCGTTCGATTACTCCGCCTGAGTACGATCGTTATCATTATCCACGTTCCCCAATGGGCCCAGCAGGACCAATAGAACATCGTAGGCCACCACTTGATCCCTATGATCGTTATGGCCCACCTATGCATCCGCATGGCCGTTCACGAGAGTATCGCGGTCCTATACACCATGAATATCCACTTCCTCCACGTGGCCCACCAATGCATCGTGTGCCACCACATTTACATGGCCCACCGCCGCCACATCAATATGCGCCTATGCGTCACATGGGACCGCGTCCTCATACTCCTTATGAGAAACCCGAAAGCAAGAAGGATAAGTTCCCCAATTACTTGCATCATGTTCAACCAGAAGACGATCCGCTCGCGACTCGTACTTTATTTGCTGGCAATTTGGAAGTGAATATTTCAGACGAAGAGTTGCGTCGCATTTTTGGCAAATATGGTATCGTGGATGATATTGATATAAAACGACCACCGCCAGGAACTGGCAATGCCTTTGCTTTTGTGCGCTATCAAAATTTAGACATGGCTCATCGTGCCAAAATCGAGCTTTCCGGTCAATATATTGGAAAGTTTCAGTGTAAAATTGGTTACGGTAAAGTGACGCCTGCTACTCGTATATGGATAGGCGGTCTTGGAGCTTGGACTTCGGTAACGCAATTGGAAAGAGAATTTGATCGGTTCGGTGCGATAAAGAAAATAGAATATCAAAAAGGCGATACTTGCGCATATATTCAATATGAAACCATTGAGGCAGCTTCTGCAGCAGTGAAGGAAATGCGCGGTTTTCCTTTGGGCGGCCCAGAGCGTCGTTTGCGTTCAGACTTCGCAGAGTTGCCAGGAACTGCACCGGCTGCGCCTTTCAAAACCAAGTCGAGCTATGATGATCCACATGAATATAGGCGTCCTGAGTATGATTATCATTATGAAGAAACCCCACACTACGCACCACGTGGTGGTTATTCTCCATATCAACCAAGAGGTGGTTACAGAGGACGTGGTGGCTATCGTGGGCGCGGACGCGGTTCCTATCATGTCTATCATAATGACGTACATCGTCCATCACATGGCAGTTCCGTATCATCAATGCCACCACCAGCTGGAGCCGAAGATGAATGGCGTCGTCCGCCAGGCGATACGTACGAAAGAGCACGTTCTGGTTCACGTGAACCAGGTGCAGATCGTTCGCGTTCTCGCTCACCGCATAAACGTGCGCATTCACCTGAGTCGGACTCAGATTCTTCTTCGCGTCGTAACGGTGCTTTGAGCACTGCACGAACTTTGCCCGATATTGCACGTAAGTGCACTGTTATATGGCAGGGAGCACTCATTTTGAAAAGCTCACTATTCCCGGCTAAGTTCCATTTGACCGATGGTGATGCTGATATTGTCGACTCGTTGATGCGCGACGAAGAAGGAAAGCACAATTTACGCATCACACAGCGTTTGCGGCTAGATCCGCCCAAGTTGGAAGATGTACAAAAACGCATTAGCTCATCATCATCACATGCTATATTTTTGGGATTGGCTTCATCTGCTGCGACCACATTAGAGGACAGCAGCGTACAAACACGCCCTTTGCGGAATTTAGTGTCATACTTGAAGCAAAAGGAAGCCGCTGGAGTTATCTCGCTTTTGAATAAAGATACCGAAGCGACAGGTGTGCTATACGCTTTTCCACCATGCGATTTCTCTACTGAACTTTTGAAGCGCACATGCCAAAGTGTGAGTGATGAAGGTCTCAAGGAAGATCATCTTGTGGTAGTTGTTGTAAGAGGTGGCACCGCTTAAAGGTGTACACCATTGGAGGAAACTGCAATTTTTTTTTTCATACATCGCTTTTAGTGCGCGTATGCCGCGTTCGAATTGACATCATTTAACTTGTTTGAAAAAAATCCGGCACAGAGTGGTATCAGCAAGATTCCTGCAAACTTATGAAATCTAGCTAAGCTATTTCTGAAACTAAAATTAGCACCAACAATTGAATTGTAAAAAATCTTTTTCCTAAGGAGGCCATTAGAGGGGAATTCAAAAAGTGAAAATGTTTAATGAAAGCTTAAAGAGAACTCGCTATTCAGTTGTGAAAAACTATATTTACAACCTGTGCGGCCAAAAATGAATGTCCTCATACGTAAACAAACAGTTCTTGAAACTTAAAAATACTTAAAACTGCGGTCTGAACGGCTTGGTTAAAAAAAAAACAGCTCTCATTAAATTAATCTTGTTAAATGATGCCAATTTGAACGTTCTATAAGGTAACGAAAAAGGAAGTTATTTCCGTCGCGTCGGTAGTGAAATTATTACTTATACCGAGATATTAGGATTTAAGACTCAACACTTCATTCAACACAATATTCAGTAAATATAAGGTAGATTAAATAGCGTTCTAAACACACATACATTTAATGGAGGATGAGTAAAATATTAGGACTTCACTGAAAATTGTAACAGAGTTTTGGTTAAAAGCTGTGAGCGAAAAATCATTTCTTAGAAAATTAATAAGTCGTTTTTAAACATTAAAATTTCAGAGCATTACTTATAAAACAAAACATTGAAATTCCATCTGTTAGTGATTGTGGCTTAATATTTTACTCACTGGGTATTAATTAACTTTTTTATTCTATTTGCATACATATTACTCTTCGGCTTACATATCGTTACTGGAAGGTAGAAAGTGCGTATTTGAGATATTTATATATTTCAAAACTTAACAAGTTTTTGAAATACCTAAAGAACAAAAATGTTAGATACTTTCTGCGTATCAGTACCTCTATGTAAGTTGTACATAACATTCTACTAATCAGCTATATTTACTGTGCGTGCAACCTAATAAAGCACGAAATTTTGCCCCTCATTAATATCAGTCATAAAGCCACTACTACTACATAGTTATAGTATTTTTAATGTATGCACCTGAAACAAGGTTTTTTAAATACATTTCTTTTTAATGTTTTGAGTTCAAAAAGTGAAAAAAGTTGCTGTGCCAATTTTGTGAAGTTTAGTTAATTCGATTTAATTCTACAATCATTTCTCCCAACAATAATAATAATTTCCAAATCTCGTATCATGGCCTACCAGACTGGTGTGTAAAATTCGAACAAAGAGAAATTTGTATAAAAATAATAAAATTGAATTGTGGTACATATGTATATACTATATGAAAGTAAAACGATTCTTGTCCAATTTTGTACGCGTGGTGAAAATACAATGAGGCCTGGCTTAACAGTTCGAAGTGGGTGATGCAGTGTAGCGTTGTGGCAATTTTCCGGTGGTGACCTTTATGCTTCAGGAAGTGTACATTAGCAAAATTGGTGACTGAGCAAATTATTTGTGTTAAGTTTTTTTTTTAAGTTGAGTTTGTGTTTTTTACATTTTAAATGTATCAAAAATACTTACCATGCATGGCCACTTGTATAATTTTATTAGAAATTACTTTTGTTATTGCCAAGCGCAAAGAATCCAGTTGGAAGAGAGTGAAGTTCAATAGTATCCATATTAAAGATGTATTCAATCTAGTTTGAGACTAGTGCAGTTCGCCTCTGGCCGTTGATATTTCCTGTGCTGTTAAGATGCAATTCAAAGGTGGTTAAAAGTGAAGTATCAGATTGAATTGCAGGTGTGTTGTAGTGTGCTGTGGGTGTTTTTGTTTGTGGCAATTTTCTGATATGCAAATTGGCTATGAATATGAAAAGTAGTAGTTCCGCCTGTATTAAAAAATCCCTTTACGTAGCAAACTGTGTCTAATTAAAATCTGAAAGTGAATTCTCCTCAAACCAGTGTTGCATACATACATAAATTTGTATATGGCGATTTCAGCTCTATATTGAGTTTTATTTCATGAGGGTGTTGTTTGGTTGTAGTACAATCAAAAGTAGAATCTTAATTCTCTACTTGAATATTAATCAGTGATTTTTGCATAGCATAATCGTTTCCATGTTTCAATGCTTTCCGAGAACCTCAATTCAACATGCATTCGTGTGAATATGTTTGCTGCCAACAATAAAGACGCGAGTGCCCAACAAATGAAGTGCGTCCGATTGACCTCTTGGCGAGTCAAATTTGCTCCAATGTCTGTGGGTGTTAATGTCTTTGAAGCCATGCTAAGAGAACCACGTGTAGCATTTGTTTAAAATTAATTGCTGCATATAAAGGGTTTTACGAATGCTACATTGTTTTCTTAAATTTGCGCACCGACGTCAAATGCTGTTTCCTGATCCTAGTGAATACTGTATCACTGCACACTAATTTTTTAAAAAGAGCCAAGTTTACATAGATGAATTTGACCGAAAAAATTACTATTGATTTCTATAACATTATTAAATTATTAAATATTTTATTTTTCTTGTGTGTTAAATCATTGATTTTGAAGTTTTGTATCTACATACAACATACCTACATAAATAACTTAATTTAATAATATTGAAAGTCATGCTTGTAACGTACGTATACAAAAGCGTACACCATCCGTTTATTAAAATAAAAAATCAGCTGAAAGTGCGTTAGTTGTAATAATCACTACTGGATTACGGAAAACTTAATCAAATAAACTTATAAATAAAATAAATTTTGTGTTATTACTGTGAAAGTGTTGTGGAGTGATGTGTCATTATACAGAAAGTCAAACAGATGTCTGAATGCAAATCTATATCGAATGTTGTTTATATGCGTACACACAGATACAAACGTGGGTAAGTGTTCCGAGTCTGTGAAAATGGCAATGGACTAGTGGTCAGAGTCGGGGGTGTGCACTAAATTTTCAGTTTACACAAATAGCTAGTGGCAGTGCACAATTTTTCACTACAATTAAAGTTTTTCACAATATATGCAACAATTTTCATTTTTATATTTTTCTGTTAATTTCGTAAAAAAATTTTAGTTCATTCTACAACAAAAAACATAAAAATATAATTCCTAAAGTTTTTGCAAAAGTTGCGAAAATTCAGCAAAATTTCATGAAAATTTTCAACTTTTCAATCAAATTTTTTAGAATTTATTTATGCAGATTTGTAGCCCAATCAATTTTATCATAATAAAGTGCAAGTTTTAAGTAGCTAGGAATTACCGTTAATTTTTAGAATTGTTTTTTCACGCAGCCTCTTCCATACAAAAAATTTTTCTCGAAAATACTTTATATGAAAAAATGCAAAACACCTTCAACAAAAAAGATTCTCAAAAATTAACGCGATTTTTGACTAACTCCGAACTTGCATTTTTTTACTATTTAATTTAATTTAATTTAATTTAATGGGCTGCCAGACTGCATACTCAAAAAAAATCTAAGAAATCTGATTAAAAAGTTGAAAACTTTGATGCAAATTTGCTGAGTTTTCGCGAGTTTTGTACAAAGTTCAGGAATTTNGTCGCTAATTGAGCGACTAAGCGACACTCGCAATAGCATCGCTAATCGATAATCGCTTAATAGTCGTTTATCTACTGCCAGTCGACATTCGCAATAGGGGTGTTAGTTTCGGCAGTGTTTGTGTATGTATGTATATGAACCAATTTAGCAAACTGAAAATGGAATACGACAAATGAAAGTTAAAGAAATGTATCATTAACCGTCTGTCTATACGTCACTTTCCGATAGGGCTGATAGTTTCTGACTCATTCCAGTTTTATATTTTTTTTATGAAAAAAAATCAAATTTTAACAGGAGATAAATTAAAAAACTACAGGTTCTGTGTCAAATTTTTGCAGTTGTGCTGAAGTCTGTTCTGTTACAAACAAATCAAGTTACTAATAAGGCAAATCGGTGGATAAATGAAGAACTAATGGGTGGTTAAATGAATGAGAAATGAGTAGGAAATAATGTTACTCATACGCCATGTACACCTAAGTAGCACACTTTTATGCTCATATTTTATAAAAAAAAAAAGTTAGCGCATTTTCATTTGATCACTCATTCTTTATTTATCCTTGACTTGAATTTTTTTGTAACAGAGCAGGATTTAGCTAAAAGGCAAACATTCGTCACAGGCCCTGTTATGGCGGATTTACATGGTATGAAGCCATATGAACTGTTGATACGTTAAAATAGAGGGACTACATGTTCTAATGAGGAATTCAATGATATCGAGTGGGATGCATATAATAAATTTTTTCATATGAAAAGTTATNAAAAAAAAAAAAATCTGGAATGATTAATTAATTTGTCAAACTATCAATCGGTTTATTTAAGTAAGGTTTATTTAATGGTAATTTTGTTAGCTTGCATTTGCCGTATTTCATATTAAGATTGTTAAACTGGTTCGTAAGATATACGTGATTAAGTGTAACCACTTTTTGATTTAAGCTGAATAGCGGCGAATTGAAAATATCTTGAAAACCACTAAATTTTCAGTTTGCACAAATAGCCAGTGGCAGTGCAAAATTTTTCACTACTAATGTTTAATGGTGCATTGCAATATATAAATCAGCCTCACTATATCGCACGTTTAACAAAATAGAGAAGCAATTCGAAATTTATTTTTTTGAAGATTTCATCATACAATTAATAAGCCTGATAAGAATACATTTGTTCAGCCTAACAGATGACTAAACTTCCCAAAAATGGTGAAGATATGGATCTTTTCATTTGTCTTTTTGTATACCAACTGTATGAGTTGATCAAACTTTGGTTGCGTTTTCCCACAAAATGGAAATTTTGAAATAATTGTGTATATTATTAAACGTGCGATATGTATTTATGTACAATAGTGATAGAGAAATACAAAAAATTCCCACTAAAATTAACAATCGATTAGTGGAATAAATTTTCTTTATAAAATTGATAATGAAATTCCTAGTCTTACCGCGTTATTACCAATCGCACAATGGCTTGTCAGAACCCTCATCACTAGCCCATGAGAGGTAACGTGTTTTTCGACACCTTTAAGGGTAAGGGTCAATCGTGACTTACGTTGTAAAAAGTATTTTAAAGTGCCCTATAAAAACATTTGCTGCAGCAGAGAAACGTCTTTTTTTCCTTTTTTATGTCACAAATGAGCATCGGTTTCATTGTCCATTTTGTTAGGTATTTAGTAGAGTATGCAATTTCGTTATCGCGAGTACGAAGTATGCGTGTCAGTCCAGCGCTCGCCGAGCTAACACTAGGCCCAACCATCCAAGAGTGTACCGCAGGAGGACAGAGGCGTCCCTAGTTGCTCCTTATCTGGGGATAACATTTTAAGTTTGCCTTTCCAACGCTAGGTCATCAGACACGCAGTTTCTCGCGATGTCACTGTAACCCGGCACCTAAACTAGTCTTTTTTTTTTAAAGTACTCCGACGCGATTTCAAGCGCACCATCACACCCTTTAGCAGTGAGACTACCGCTTCCTTGATGGCAGCTCTTTCCACCTGAAAGACACTGCAAAAGTCCGGAAGCCTGAGCATAGTTTTGGTGGAGAGTTTACGACAGAAGAAACCTCCACCAACCCCGTCTCCAAGTTGTGATCCGTGAAGAAGTTTACCGCTCCATTCTTCGAATAACCCAAAGGCAGAGGAGCTTCTTACAGCCCTCCAGAACTCCAGAGTGCTACCGCCCAGTTTCCCTGAGCTTAATAGCAGTTCGTGATGCGACAATTCTGTCTGCAATATCCGCAGGCGCCGTGTTCAACATGAAGTTAAGCGCCAGTATAGGCGTGGTTCCTAATGCTCCACTAATTCCGATTAGGGTGATCCGCTATAAACGCTCCAGTTGTTTTCCAAGTGTAGCTTTCTCTAGTGAGTTCCACCAGGCAAGAGCTCCTTGAAACAAGATAGGCTTAAATCTGGTTTGCCAGAGCTATTGAATAACTTTATGCGAACCGACGCTTTACAATTTCCTCAATATTAGGCTTCCATGACAGCTTCCCATCCAGGATTAAGCCTAAGTACTTAACCCTGTCGTGAGAGCCGCAGACGAACACCCCCTCTCTAGGGAGGGGCCACAACGGGTATCTTGTACTTCCTGGTAAACAAGACCACTTTTGATTTTCTGAGATTTACTGCGAGGCCGCCGTTGATCGCCCACCTCGTAACCTGGGTCAGGTAAACTTGAGCTTGATCAAAAAGGTGTCTAGAAATCCGCCCTTAACCAAAAGTTCCATATCATCTACCCGACAGCCCACTTTCCCCAGTTCCCCTCTGCCCTGAGTGCGGGCACTTCCCCCACTCCGCCGCGACTGTTCTGTCACAAAATAGGCTGTAGATAAACCTTATTAGGTTGGTTTCAACCCCCAGACTATTAATAGACTTGACTATTGCCTCTGCAGTAACATTGTTGAAGGCCTCCTCGTGAAGGCTTCCTACAACTACCTTACCAATGTTAACAAGACGGTATCCGCCGACCTTTCCTTGACATAACCATGTTGAGCTCTTGAAAGATAGTCACGAGGAATCGCATTTCTTATGAACAGGTATATCAGTATCTCTAGCGTTTTTACCAAAAACGAATACAGACTAATAGAACTAAAATCCCTAGCGGAAACATGAGAGCCTTTCCCGGTCTTCGATATGAACGCAACACTGACTACCGTCCAAGGCTTGGGGATGTACCCGGTTCTCACGCAGTTCGCACAAATAGGAGCCAACCAATTGCACGACACCTCCAGAGCCCTTTGCAGCTGCGCAGGTATGATTCCAATGTTCCCCGGCGACTTGAAGGGTTTGGACGAACTTATCTCCCAGGGCATGTGACGATCGTCCCGAAGATCGGACAAGTACAGAACCTGAAGTACAAAATGTTGCAAAGAAATACATTTGACTGTACTGCGAAGTACGAAGTACAAAAGCTAAAAAAGAAGTACTGTACTTACGAAAGTCGGCAGATTACTCACAAAACTCCATTTAGAACTGTTACAGCGTAAAATTAGATGGGATATAGGATATAGCATTTTAAACCAGGGACCGAGAACACGTTCCAGTTTTGGTTTAGTTCTGCATGAGAACAAAGTATAATGTCAAGAATGTACCCACAAAAGAACCAAATGGGAGCAAAAGTATTGAGAGCAGTTTAAACGGAGGAAAAATGAGAACAAAGGATGTGGAAACGTTTCCGTAAAGAACAAAATGCGGGCAAAGCTGTTGGGAACGTATCCAATAACAACAAACAAAATAAGATCGAAAGTATCGATACCGTTTTCAAGAAGGATCAAGTAACACAAGTCTGGGGAATGTTCTGCAAGAGAACCAAAACGAGAACAAAAGTTTGAGGAACTTTACGTTAAGAATGAGAGTGGCATCTGCGTGTTGGGGGAAAAAATTCAGAGGGAAGCTGGATCATTCCAACTTCGAGGTCGTTTATCATTTGTGCGAACTGTCCATTTACAAAAAAAATTTTCATTTTCTGCGCAAGAAAAGTTCGTGTCTTAAGTCTTTTGTTTTGCGTAATTATGTTTCAATTATTTTTTGATTAATTGTAATATTCAAAAACTTTAAACTAATGAGACGTTATGATACAAATTTTGTGTTCACTTTCTCTCTACGTGAATAGTTCAGAAAAGATTTGTTTCCGTTTAGTTCTGTCTAAAAGTTGCTGAGACTTTAGTTCCCAAATTGTTGTTCGAGAGAAAAGTCCTTAGACTTTCGTTTCCGTTTTGTTCTTTGCCAAAACGTTCCCGAGACTTTTGTTCTCATTTTGTTCGCCTAGAAATAATCCCGAAAGTATTGTTCGCATTTTGTTCTCTTTGGGAATGTTATACAGGGGCGGTTTGTTCTTTTATAATTATCGATAGTTTTGTACTCATTTCGGGTTTGGGTTTGAGCGTTCTGGGGAAAAAACTACGAGAACATTTAATTTCGATCATACCTTTTGTTTTCGGTGTTTCGTTAAAGTTTGTATGTCATTTAATATTGTTGTAATTATATTTTAATTCTATTAAAACGTTAAGAAGTAATCAGCCGACCTCTCTAAAAAGCTGGATTTTAAAATAAAATAAATACGAGACTTTTCTTTATTAAGGTAACGATAAACCTTAAGATATAGAAAACAGTTGATATTTGTGTATACATCTTAATTTTTGGAAATGTATTTAATTAAGAGGAAACATCGTAAAAAACTAACAATCAAATACTATATATGTCCCAAAATCACTTTGAAATTTACTTACGAGCATCCCCCTTCAAAAAAAAATCTATATTTTTCCCTTTGATTTAGTGCTATTGTAGCTTCATACTCTTGCTTTCTTTACTTTTGCTTTTCTCTGACAAGCACAATAATCATACCGAGTTTGGGTACAAATTGATATAACGATTACCGAAATCACATATGTGTACTTGTATTTCATAAGCGGGTGCACATTTCCAAATTTTATCATAAACGTATTTTTTGCTAAATAATTATTGTAAACATCAATTTTGAATAAAATAGCTTCAGTATTTAAGCCAGTTATTAATATCTCTATTATTACTCGAGCTATCATGTGCACAGGCGGGCGGACGGATGGACAGACAGTCACCGCTTAATCGATTTGTTTTTTTCATTCTAATCATTTATGTATACATTTGTCCGCCCTTTCATACGAATTTATCGCTTTTATTAAAAGCTGTATTCTGAACTTATTCCACCTTAGCCATTTAAAGGATTAAAACAAACATTTTTGACACCAAAAAGGGCTCTGGTTTTGTTTCTTTGTCTTCTGAACTTCACTTCTTTTTCCTTTGACATTTTTTTTCTTCAATATGACGTTGCTGTTATCAATTAGGCGGGATCTAAAGAAAACAATAAAATATAATTGCTCTGCTAGAAAATACGTATTTTTTAAAGAATTCAGGAATAAAAATCCAACCCTGTGAAAACTCACCTTTATACAAATTCAACTATCCGACCTTGCTATGAATGCTTTTAGAAGCCTAGTGAGTTCACATGTCCTCAAAATATCTTGAAAAAGCAGGACCTTTAGCGTATCAAAACTAAAACTTTAAAACTGTGCAAGCTCATTTTGATTAGTCTTCGGGTCAGACAAGAGTTATTTAAAACCTTCCTTGTATTACTTAAGTACCTTAAGAGCAATTGTTTAGCAGAAGATTTGGTAGTACAAAATATGCAAAATTTTTCAAAATACGAAATAAAACTCGCATATTTTTAAATCGAAATGTGTTTATTTTAGTAATTGATTTAGCAAATATCTACATACATATAATGCAAGTAAAACTATTTTTTAATAAAGTAAAACAGTTATTGTTTTTAATCATAATACAAATAATAAAGTGTAGCAACACCGAAAAATTTTGGTGTATCATGAACGTAAGAAATGTAACCGTCTTTATCCGCATCCCACAGGAAATTGACCAAAGAACAATAGCCTTGCATTATCTTCTCGCCGATGGTAACGACACAAATATAACGGTATCTGTAAATATTATTAAAATAATACTTGTAAAAAGTTAACGTATACGTATGTATGTATGTATGTATGTATGTACATATCGACACCTGAGCGGAAGATCGACCTATCTCGGCAGCCTGTTCGAAAACGCCCTATCTCAGAATTTGATTGAAGAACGTCCTATCGCAGAATTCAGCTAAAAAATCTGACTCAGGTTTCGATATGCTCCAGAATAAATTAGTTTTTATATTTTAATTTTTTTTTTTTGTAATTTTTGAAACTTTAATTTCGCTAAATGAACCTTTTTTAATTTAGATTTTTTTAATACCTAAAAATTTACAGATAATAATTGCCAAATTTCATAATACATAGCAGCCACAGGTCACAGCGTTATAACAGATCTGGTAAGCCGATTGCAGTATGTAATTCCATACTGATTACAGCTCGGTAAGGATACTGTAGGTAAATTCATGAACGGAATTAATATTGCACAAAAGTAAAATCCTATGCACATCGCACACTAAATACAAAAGGGTCGCAACTCAAAATTTCCCCAAATTGACTTTTACCATACACACTTCAAATATCTGGGACCTTAGCGGTTATGATGTATATAATAAAAATCATAATTTTGAAAATAAAATTTGATTTTATATTTTTCCAAAAATGGTGAATTGGAAAAAAAAACAAAGAAAAAGCATTGTCCCTATACAAGTGAATGGGAGTGTTCTTCTAAAAGAGGTGGAATGAATTTTCTGTTTGTTATCTTCTTTTGTGCCGTAACCCCCTAAGCGATTTTAGAAGAGTCCAATAGTCGTTTCTCTATTGTTACAATTGATGCCTTTCGGAATTGCGAAGTGAATTCAAGTTCTCAGAGGAAGCCTTCCTCTTCCTCTGCTACCACATTCGTTCGACATGATCAAGCCAACAGAGCGCTGTATTTAAATTCGCTGTCGTTGCGAAGCTCATGCAACTCATCGTGGGCTTGTTCGAGTTGCAATCACAACCGCAGTGTTGCGCGAATCATTTAAGTATCGCGTTCTGTATGGATTTCTGGCAATGTATTATAAGTTGGGCAGTTGCATTTTTCATCAGTACGGCAGTAATGCCGCTTTTATTACGTGCCTCGAACAGGCCCCGTTCCACTGTCAGCGATAATAGCCGCCTCCAACACGTAAGGACCCGTAAATACAATACATTGGATAGCACTGTAAAACCCTGGACTCGATTCACAGCGTTCGCAGTGAGAGGTGCCTACAATCAATCCGTAGGAACTGGGTTCGATCTCTGGTTCGAGCAACATCTAAAAGTTTCTGTCTTGAAAAATAATCTAATCTGCCGTTCGAAGGCGGCGTAAATGGTAGCTCCCTTCATTTATGTTATAACATTAGGACGCACACTACAAATTCGGGGAGAAGCTCAGCCAAACACTTACCAATAGTGTAAGCGCAAAAATATTATAATTACACTGAAGTGAAAAGCTCAACTTTTGCAATGAAACAAAAACGCCGAAACACGTGAACTTAACTTTAAGTCGTAGATTACGATTCTGTGTTCTGTTTTTTTTTTTTTAAGATCGGGGTATTTTTCCAAGACAAAGTAAGAAAATAAAAATCAAGTTTTAACAGCGAAAAACGGAGTACGGATGCCTGTTTTTTTACATGAAAATCTTCGTATTAATGAAGAAAATCGATGGATAAATAAAAAAGTTTTTTTAGTTGTTTCAGGTAATTTTTCCAAGACAAATTTAGAAAACAAAAATCAAATTTTAACAGCGAAAAACGGAGTACCTGCTTTTTTACAAGAAAATCTTCGTATTAATGAAGAAAATCGATGGATAAATAAAATAGTTGTGAATGGTCAAAGGAAAATGCGTAATGGTTTTTTGCGTGAAATATAAGAAGCAAAGAATGTTACTCATAAGCGATGTAAGTTGGTACCTAGCCATTAACTGCAGTACCATGCCATGGCTAACCAGAATGGTGAAGCTGTGGTATGTAGCAAGAGCTGTCAAAAGTTAAAATATTCTAAATGCACTAAACTTGCCACAATATGTAGCTGTGGTTATTGTGTATTATTGCTTATGTAGCTGATGTAGCTAACGAAAAAGCTTGTGGCTGTGGTACTACATTCTGGTTAGCCAGTAAGGCGTATCACGATTGTCAGTTTCATTTCAATACTTATGCCGAGAAAAAATATTGGTTGTAAATTTTTATTTTATGCACCCGCTAAGATTTGATACCTTCACTATTTTTGGAATTACTATCCCTAGATTTTTATTTTTAAACGCTATATATCTAAAGCCCTCAAAAAACAACGGCGACCTTTGCTAAAAAAGGGTTAGGCTTTATTCACAAACAAAAAAGTTATACTGTTTTCGTGATTCGAGTACGCTGTATCCCTTCCGACTGTCAAGTTTAGCAAAAATATGCCCATATATGTTCTGTGTCTGAAACTGCAAGTGGAGATTCACTTACAACATGGACAAAACTCTCGGTGTTTTGAGTATGGCATAAAAATTTAGAAAAAAAAATATCGCTTACATATTTTTGGCAAATAGGGCTCGATATGTAATACTTCTGGGCACCGAAATATTTACATGGAATTTGAATAATTTTGTGCGAACAATGATATTGCAAACGAAATTGCAAAATAGGAGGCGCAGTATTTTCAAATCTATTCTAGTCAATCAATGCTATTAAAGTTAAAGATTGACATCCGATACTTTCCAATGCGTTTGGAAGTGGTGCTGCTTGTAAATTAAGATATTCTTGGAATAAGAGACTAGTTATACTAGACTAGAAATGTATGTAGGTATTTGCTCGATTGGAATTTCACATCATTTCTTATCAGGTAATAATAACTGTCTCGATCCCCATTGGTTTAAAAAAATCATTGAACTTGATGGTATTCACGCTGTGTCGCTGCAGTTCAGGGATAGCACTCCATTCCTCCTCTTTATATGTAGTTGAATTTTTTTGTGATAAAATAATATTTTTCAATAACTACGTTTATATATTTACGAATTGTAAATCTGCCCACTACTGGAATCTTAGCTCGTTCCCAAATTCCAATAAGTTTTTTTTTTTTTTAAATTAACTCGGGTGAGTAAATGTAAACCTACACACAAGTAATAACAACATTAAAACTTTTTTGTTTGTGAATAAAGCCTAACTCTTTTTTTAGCAAGGTCGCCGTCGTTTTTGCAGGGCTTTAGATGATTTATAGTAAACAAATAAAAATCTAGGGATAGTAATTCGAAAATAAGTGAAAGTATAAATTAAATGGTTTTGAAGGCCAAAATTGTTTAATGGCATATTATAGTCCTGAGCGAGACCTTTTTAACGACAAATTTTTTTTAAAATCAGATATCAAATAAGAAAATTATAGAGAAAATGCGATTTAGCGTAGATAAGTGTTTAAATAAAACTGACACACGCTAAACTTTTTTCTTTCATATGTCGTGATACGGCTTAATGGCCATACTCGTACAGGGCGTATGAGCAACATTTCCCATTTATTTCAAATGGAATACAAATCCTTACTGACTAAAGCAAAGGATCATAAATACTACCCAAAGTAATTTAGCAGGACACAACGTACTGTTCCAAATGAGAAATATGGATCATATTCTGAAAGCTCATTTAACTCAGAGAGGGTTCTGAATAAAGGCGAGAATTTCACATATTTAGATTTCAAAAAACCCTAAATTTAATAATGAAACATGCCGCAAGTTATGAGACGGAACATTTAAAGATAACTTATCCAAGAGACTAGAGCAATCGACAGTGCCTACTATTTAACGATTTTAAGCCAAGGAGTTGACAACGAGATGCCTACCGGGGTGTAGGCTCCGAAAACTTTTTAGGGAACGCAAGGCGAAATTTGATAAAAACTTTTTGACTCATTTCAGTCCGGTTTGTATAGACGGAATGATATCACCAAAGAAAAATAGAGAATGTTCAGGGTATATGGACCGACTATTACGATGAACAAATGCGAGCATAGCATAAGCTTTGGAAATGACGTAATTAATATTAGTTGAGCAGGTTAGTTTTGAGTCAAAGTAAACTCCTAACGGCCGATTTAAGATCATAGCCGCCAATATTATATGTACTTGGTTTGAACAGGAAGAAGCGCCATGAGTGTAGGTTATCGAGCTCAGATTGCAATAATATGGAGTCTTGCGAGATCCTGATCACTGAGTAAACCTTGAGATCGTCAGCATATAATAAATACTTAGACGACAGAAAGCATGACCCAAAATCGTTTACGAATAGGACAAATAAGAGAGCACCCAAGATACTTCCTTGAGGGAAACCCGAAGGGAGTTGGAAAAATTAAGCTTACGTGTCTCGGCGTTTTTTTTTTGCGTCATTTTACGCTTCCTGCAGTGTTATTGATCAAAATTGACAAAACGAATACCGCAGTCTTGGAAATCATTCGATCGAGTATGCCGCGATGGCCTGGAATATTTGCATTAGCCACATGCGCAGAAGCTCTTTTTGTAACTTAACAGAGCTCTGAGCTGTAATTAAGCCTTCCTCTTAGTTATTGCTGCAAATGCACTACTAAACCAACACTTTTTCGTCCCATTTTTTTTTTTTTTTTTACTAATTTCATATACACCTTATACACTTACTCACCGGTCAAAATGTTGCGATTTTACACGATTTTTTATCTCCTCACTAATTTGTGCGCACAGTACCAGCGATTGTTTTGGTGAATATGTAAAGTTCTCAAAAGCATTGTTCATCACCGTTTTTATGATGTTCTCACAGGCCTCCTTATTCAGAGGATATTTCGGTTCTAGACGATATGTGGGCAGATATTTTAGTACCGGCTGTAAACACACAGAGATTGGCGAAGTTAAATTGCTGTTGTGTCGTGACAAAGACATTGTCTTACCCGCGCTTGGGGAACTGCAAATGTTACACTAACTCGACGCAAGGATTTGAGGGAATTGCGCTTCTGGAAAATAAACATAAACTATACATTAAAATCGATGAATTTGTCTAAAAACGTGTGCATATCATTTGTCTGTCGCTGCTTAGTTACGCATTCATCTAAATACATATGTGCAAACATATGTATGTAAGTATGTATACATATATGTATGTATGTATGTATGTAGTCTAAAATACGTTAATAGTGAAAGGGTGGCGTAGGGTGGCGTTGAAGTTCTGCGTGTTTGTTTGGCTGGCATCGCTTTTCCGCAACGTTGAGTTGATTGCTTGATTCATTTCAATTACATTTAATGTCTTCGACTACGTTTGCCATAAATCATAATTTCGTTAGCAAATATGTAAATGCACTAGTACAAATTGAACCAAGAGAATTCGTGTATTATTGTAACAAATTGCCAATATATTAATCCGGATATAAATTGACAGCTTTAACGTATTGTATTACTTGTTACCTCTTCCCTAGCCTGACCTAGGCACAAATCTACGAGGTTAGACCAATTCTCTGCCATTGAGAACTAACGAAATGTAAACATATTTTGACCTGGTTTGCGAAATTTGCTAAATGTTAAATCGATAGGATGTAATATAATTTTGCATATAATCTACGTAAATATTTGTACTTAAGTATGTAGTTGTGTACAAATTCTCAGCACATCTTGCGCTAATCCATGTACATAAGTCGACCGGAAAGGGAGAATGAACTGACAATTGCGGTCTCTCCATAATTAGCTAATTTGAATATCAAGTGTAGATATACATACGTACATATGTTTGTATAATTAAACAAAATCACGCAATTCCTTTGCAAAGCTAAATTTCTTACTACAATGTAAGAACGTACTTCTGGTGGTTCCATGATGTTTTTGAAAGAATAAGAAGATTAGTGAAATATTTAAAAATAAATCCAATAAATAAGAAATTGAAGTTTTTTCAAAAGTTTTGTTTGCTTCGCTTTCAAATACTTTATGAGACATTTCCGAGGATGCCAATAGATCTTACGTTTTAAGTATTGTGCATACATTTACTTAAACATTTTTTTTTTACCTAAAAATCCGTTTTCTTTCATGTTTCTCACCACGAACTTATTCATCTACATATATATATGTATATCGCTAGATTAGAGTGAAAAGTTTCTAAATTAAATTCTTATGAAAACTCATATTTTGATATAGAATGCAAGGGATATATGAACGGAAAATTTGCTAAGTTCAAAAGAGGCACCGAAAATCCGACAAAACCAAAATAATACGAACTCTTTTAATAAAGAATGAATTGGCGCTCCTTACATGACAGTTGTAGTGGACGTCGCAAGGACCCACGTGGCCCCGTTGGATGGCGACGATGTCAGCTTTTGTTCTTACGAGGACATCAACCAATCGGGCAGAGGCACCTTCCCCATTAAGAATCTTCAGAGAAGAGAGGCGCCTAAACCTAGTCGACGGCGAAGAAGGACGCGTTAACCTATTTGAACAGCGAAAAAAGATGCGTAAACTTATCATCGCGTTCAACTATGTTTTTGAGTTTTTGGGTAATGTTGCTGACGTGACAGTCCTTGGATAGGTACAAATCTATGTTACGCGTCTTTCTTCGCCGTCAACTAGATTTACGCGTCTTCTCCCGACGAAGCTTTTTTTACGCGTCTTTTTTCGCCAATTCGTCCTTTTTCGCCGTCAAAACAATGCCGCGCCTTTATTCGCGTGACGATATGTACATATGTATATCAACGAGTAGTGTTGTTAGAAGAGCTGATTCAGTTTGGTTCCATTTTTACCTACAATTTACTTCTGAATTCGTCTTGGTTTACGCAAAAATGTTTGCACATCAAAAATTATAAATTTTGTCATATCCGAAATATTGTGCGCTGCTTTAAATTATCAAATTCGATATTAAAATACATATGTATGTATGTATGTGTTGCAATATTTTTATTTTATTTATTTATTTATTTATTTATTTAGGTTTTCTATATAATATAGTACATATACACAGTCAAAAATCCATTTACGATACTTTTGTATAGAAATATTTTATATGCAAGTACACACAGTTACATACATATGTGTGTACGTATGTAAGTGCTAAATACACAATATTTAATAATAGACATAAGACATACATACAAACGTTACTTACATATACACATAAACATAGAAGTTTACGGATTTACATACATATTACGCAAGAACATCCAAAACAACAACTACATTTTATACTAATACAACAATTACGAAAATATTTTTTGTATAAGGTAAAAAATAAAAAGGGGCCTTTTTTATTTAAATTCAATCACTCTTGGCATCAGTTTATCCATCGATAGATTCATGCATCACGTTTATACGCACATACAAATGTATGTATGTACATATATCTGTTGCGGTATATAGATGTATGAACGTAGGTCACTTTCTGTAATGCAACAGTAGCAAAAGTATAGAAAATAAACAATACATATGTGCATATGCTATTGCATGAATTTTTGCTATATGCAGGAATTGATATTTAATATTTCGGTATGTACATATGTACTTATATAGTATACATATGTATGTATAAATATCAGTGTATATTAGTTATACATACATTTACATATGTACTAAATCATTATTTATTTTTATAAACTTCTAGTTGAATTTTGTATAAGTTTATTTAATTTTTATTTATTTAGGGAAAAATTCGCTAATACATATACATAAGTAGTTTTTATTTCATAAATTCATAAGTGCATACCGAGTCATAGAGAAAGTTTTTTTGATTGTGGACGTTCAGGAAATACTCGTACATAGTATATCATACACACATATTTTTCGCAGTGTTGGCACATTGGTGAACTAAAATGTGTTGATTTAAAGACTGAAAGGTAATTATAATTGCTTAGTTTTCTTTTACAGTAAAAGTGATTCAGTTTAAATGTTTTAAATTTAATTAATAAAAACCAAATTGCCACTTCATTGCGAAACATTGGAACTCACTGAAGTTTGGAAGTCAGGTTAACAGCACTAATAAAAATTAAAATAGGGATCATTTATAATCTTTTTATTTTACTTTAAAATTCTACTTATGATAACTAAATGAATTTATCCTTTCGTATTTTTTGATAAGATTAACCATGATAAAAACATAACAAGGTAAAACCATTGAGAGACAGTGTGACGTTTGCCAGCACTATAATTTAAAAACAACAAAACATATGTGAACAGTTTAATTTTTTTATTTTAAATTTTATATGATTTTAAAATGTTTGCAAACGTCAGAAAAAAAATTATGGCCGACGAATTGAGAGAATGAATTTACCTGGTAATGTATTTATCATGAATATAACAATGACGAATTTTCAGTGTGCATTGAAATGACAAAGTTAAGAAATATTTATAAAAGCCGTGCCGTTATTTTAGAAAATAACATCGATAGGGAAAAAAATTACCGAACACCGAGTTACCGAATAACAAACTTCGGTGTGAAGACCCCTTATATGGCATTTTGTTCGCGCTGCTCCAACACAGTCGCAATGACTCAGTGAGTAAAGTAGTGACGTGCCCCTCGAGAGTTCCAGGTTGGATTTTTTTTTTTAATTTCATTTAATTTTTATGATATTAAAGTATTTAGGTTTATTTCCTAATAAAATTGTTGCCAAAAAATATTTTCTCGCTTCATTTTCGTATTTTTTAGAGTAAAGCAGAAAGAAATTATGTTTTTCCCCGTGGTACAATTATTTTAAGCGTTCTGTCTTCCCAGAGAGCGCATATTCCGATCTGCTTTATTTGAAAAACATCATTGTAGCCCACGCTAAAAGGTTGACTGTATGAGAAAAGGGATATTTTCGAATACCATATACCTAGAGTGACCAGATTTCTTTATTTTTCTTTGAAGTGCGAGTCAGAACGTCATTTTGTCATTTATTGAGGGCAAAACTCGGAACATTTCTTGGTATCCAAACATACAATTTTGTTTTAAGAATAAAAAGGCTTAATAGAGTTTTATTTAGAACAAACCAAAGAGAAAATTTTTTTAACTATACAAATTTAATTAAGCGACAACCAAAAGCAAAACCATCGAAAAGTAAAAGAATCAACATTGTAATGCGTTAAAATGAAAATAAGGAAGCACGAATTTCGATATGAAAGAAAACTCTCTGGGAAGGCAGTACCTGTAATAATTGTACCATGTGGAAAAATATTCCCAAAAATTATAAAGCAAAACAAAAGCAACTTTGCAAAGCAATTTGTTTTTGTTATACCTGTTAGACTATGGAACGATTTATTTACATAGAATTGGAGATAAGGCTGAATACCTGTAATAATTGTACCATGGTTTTCTCCCATATTTTTCTTTTTGTGACCTGCTCGGAGCCAGCTGTCGAATTAGTGACTTTTTTATTTTAAAGACGTCAGACAGCTTACTGAATACCAAATAGTCTCAAAATCGAAGTTCACTTCGAAAAGTCTCTATTAGTGACTAGAGGCTGCTTACTGAATACTGGCCTTAGAATTTTTTCCAGGATTACGAGGAGTCAAACATAATTATTGTCTAATGATAGGGCAATAAACGTGTTGATGCATTCCACAGAAAGGGGTAATAAATGAATTGGTTTGAGCTGCCCACATCACATACATATGTACATAGATACGTTAGGTTTGTTGATGTAGGTCGATTCCCATAAGGAATCCTTATGAAGCAGTCCGAGCTCTTCATCTGCGATTGGTGGAAGTTCATCTCCGATGGCCGATTCACGGGGCGAAATGTGATGAATGTACGAGTTTTTCTGGATAAATAACGTTTAAGTCACATCCGCAGTCTGTCTAATTCAGCGGATGGCGTACTTGTGACTACACTCAGAAAAAAGTCGGGCCAATATATTCCTCTCAACACATGATTTGGTAACTATAAACAAATAATGTAACTATAACCAAATCATGTGTTGAGAAAACCATATTTAGTTGACGTAACTAAACTCTTTTCTCAGTGTAAAAGGTCAATTCTGCGCTGGTAACAAATATTTTGTAACCGGTAAATAAAGTTTAACTGAGAACTTTTCTTAATAAAATATTCGGTAACGTTCAGAATAGGCCCAATAACGTCATTCAGATAAAAGAATTGATTTCTAATGTGCCAAGAGGGCACTGTAGATTCAAGCAAGTATCTTTTGCATTAACCCAACTGGAACTGCTAGCTGGGAAGAAGGAAGATAAACCCTAAAAAACTCGAGCTTTTATTTGGAGTACGTCATAGCCATTGGCCCATTCAAGTTGTCTTCGATTGCATAGAGAAAAATGTTTGATTTCGTGAATCACAAGTCATTTATGTCAAAACGAGCTGTGTATGGGACCGAAGAAGCGATACCGAGCACGTGGATAATTTGCGACCTACAGCATTAGTCCCGGTGTGAGAGGATTTTTTTACAGTTTTAGTTTCACTATTCAGCAAACTTTTAACTTTTGAACTCGTCTTAGATAAGGTGAGCCATTTCTAATATGTAGATTTTGGATAATTTAATTCGAAGCTTAACTCAGTTTTGCTCTGTAACATCAGGTTTTTTTTTTTTAAATATCCTAACCCAAAAATGCGAAAAATGCTGTTTCGGCATATTTTCGAGGTTACGTAGCATAGGGAAGTTTTTTTTACTCGAAAAATTATGCATACCACATATCGTTAGGTTTGCTCCAATATATTTTTTTCATCAAAAAATTTGAATTGAGGCAATTCCATTATTGCCCCTTTATTTATAAGTGTATGCATACCCTTTGAAAAAAATGCACCGTACTAGTTTGAAAATTTCAAAATAAAATTTCCCGCAGTTTTAGGTTAGGGTATTTAAAAGACTTGGTGCGATAGAGCAATTCTGAGTTCAGATTCGAATTCAGCGACTCAAAATCTATTAGAAATTAGCCTTATCTTAGATAAAATTTTCATATCTGAAAATTCGCCTATGTATGTTCTTAAGTTTTATATTTAACATTTATAAAGCACTCAGCATAATTTGATTTGATTAGAAATGGAGAGTGTTGCTGTTTTTTTTTCGATTTCAATTTGCGCCAACACTGAATTGGACTTCTAAGTAGTGGGGTTTATAATAAAATTATTCCTAAACTAGATGTTTTCATTAAAATTACTGTTTTATAAAATAAAATATTTTATTTTTGTATATTAGATGCACAATTAATAATAAAAAATCAGTTCTATTGGTGAATAATTCTTGTTAACGAGCCAGTCATAATTCCAAGTATTTAATATTATCACTCTCTCAGTAAACTAATAACTCTGATTAATATCATTGAAAGGAGCTAGTTTTTTTTCATACACCCCGTGTCACAATTATGAGCGCATCACATATTGACAAGTTAGTTAGTTATTTTTTTTTATACAAATATTGTTTATTCTTTAACAAAATGTATGTGTATTATGAAAAAATTAATAAACTGATACAAATTTTAATATTTTTAATATTTTTAATTATATTTCCTAGAAAGATTTTGTGTATGCAGTTTTGTAGCGCATCCAATTCTCTAGTACCGATAGCAAAGTAAACGTTTGAAAGCAGCCGAATATACATACATACTTTGTATGGAAGAAAATGCGTAACATCGTCAGCAGAAAAAAATGCTTCGACGTTTTTACGATTTTTTTGTTGATTTTTTTTAATATTGCACAAAGTTTAAAATTGGATATATACGGTTTTTGTTAAAGAATAACCGAAATCTTTATAAAACTATAGCTAAAATTAAATAAAAAAAATAAATTTTTAATGGAACGTTTGACTAAAAAGTAAGAAATTGCTTTTTTTAACATTTCAGACCTTTTACTTGAATCTATTTGAATAAATCGGAAAAAAGCAATTACTTAGTTTTTATTTATACGACCCAATATGTGGTGCCCTTATAATTATGACACGAGGTGTAATGGCACATTTTACGAAAATATGCATTTAAACAAATTTGACTAACTATTCAAATAATGCATAAGGATTTTATACGAAGGATGTAGCTATTCTAAAGAGCCTGTCAGACGTGGCAATATTTCCGTCTTTCGCACGCAATTCGCTGTCAAATTGAGAAAGAGAAATTTTATTTCGATGTGTGAACAGCCAGAAAGATCTTTCTGTCACCTTTCGGAAATCAGTTTCAGAAATAAAAGTTGCAAGGTGGGACTGCAACTGCAAGAGCGAAAATCGATTTCGGAAATATATTTCAACTTGCTCGTGCTGCACTAGCAATTTTTATTTCTTCTGCAAGTGCTGTCAAACTAATCGAGTGTTGCCGTGTGGCCCTGATCGTGAATTTGTGTAAAATGATAAAAAATATTGTTGAATTAAATATCAAAAATGCTTGAAATATATTATTTTGTTTAATATACTTAATCGTTAAATTATTGTTTACACGGTAAATATGTTAATTATAACCTATATTTTCTCGCTTTTACAAGAGAAATAGCAAACAAACGACAACCCCACCGCTCATGGTTGCATTTTAGTATCGAGAAAGATTGCCAGAAACTCATTCGCTGTGTGAACAGCCAAAAAGCGATTTCAGAAATTTTTCCTGCAATTCGCCGTTCGGAAATAAAAACCTCTATCGAAAGACACTTTCCATGCAAGGTGTGACTGCTCATGCAACTGATTTCTCAATTTGACAGCCTTTCCGAAATTTATTGCATCGAAATATATTGCCACGTCTGACACGCTCTTAAGATATTGACACATTATAATATTTATTAATACGATTTTTAATTATCAAATTTTGTTCTAATTTCCCAAACCGTTAATTTTCATATTTACGTTCTTGCGGCCTTAAACTGGTTTCGTGAAATAGTTTAACATGGATATAAATATACACTTAGTGCTTTTAATGCGTTTAGATGTCAAATATATTTGTAGGTGTATACGGAAGTGATGAAAGTCGTGGTGAGTATATTTAATTTAATATTAAGAAATTCTTGTGGATAGGTGTGGTTTGATTTTGAAAATGCTGTCTATTCTAACATTATACTACTTATTTTAATAAATACGATGTGTTAGTTAGAGTTGTGCTAAATTGACGAATATGGAAATTTTAGAATGTATAAAATTATAATCATAAATAAATAATAATGAATTAAAATGATATAAAAACAAACCAAGAAATATTTTTAATAATAACGATTTTTTATTGTTATAATAAAGAATGGTATAAAAATTATGCGTTTTGATGGAACATTTATTAACACAGCGCAAGTTTTTAAAATCTACACATATGTAAATATCTCTCATATTTGCAAATAAATTCCAACCGATTTGACGAAAGCCGAAAATAACTAAGATATCGTCCAATAAGATCAAAACAAGCTGCTGAATTTCCCACAGCAGGTGCTAGATAGAAGCTACAATTTTCTAGTAAAATCTTTAGCAAAATTGTAAGGTATTTTGAAAGTATGTTCTTATAATTACAGCTAGTAAAGCTACTTTCCCTTCGAACGAAGTTAACAGTGGTAACACTTCTTTTTTTAATTTTTTCAAGATGCAGACAATGCATACATAATATTTAGTATTGGTTGTACGTACATATTATTATTTTTATGTATAAGTGTCAGACATAATTTTTGGCACGGCAACCATTATTCGTTTTATGACCTTTTTTAAGCCGATATAATAAATTTATTAGAATAATTTAACTTTGTATTTAGTTTAAACAATCCAATGCAGGTAATTTATATCTTACTGTCCTCGTTTAATTAAATTTACAGACTTTTGCCACCGAATTTTGGCCACACTTAAAACATTTTGTTAATAGTTCAACTAGCCGACATCTATTTTTGTGTTCCTTTATTGACAGTTAATTTTATAAGTAATCCGAAATTAAGTTTTGACTTTTCAGTTCGATAAATGAGCCTGAAATGAAATGAAATCCTTGAAAACCAACGAAAAGTAAACCAACATATTCATGCCTATTACGGTATCCGACGGATGCCATCCGCACGGATCTAATCAGATTCGTACAGTCGGAATAAGCGAGTGCGAAGGATTCGATTCGTGCGAATGGTATCTGTCGGACCGGAATAGGTGTGTTTCCAAGGGATCCCATTCTCATGAATCTAATTCTTCTCACTCGCTTGTTATGACAGTTCGAATCGGATTAGATCCGTGCGGATGGCATCCGTCGGATACCGTAATAGGCATAAATATGTATATTTGCATATTAGCTGCGTTCCTTATCTCCCAGAAATAGTCAGAAAAAGTCCGAAGTAGTCAGATTTAGTCCAAAAAGCGTTCCTTAACTCGAAAATGACAGCAACAATGAGAGAACAACACTCAGTGAGAGTGAATCTTCAGTCCGAAGTAGTCAGATTTAGTCAGAAGAATTTTTGCTGGCAAAATCTTGAAAAGTGTCAAACTCAACTACATAGATGCAAATTAACGGAAATTAAAGAATACGCATAAAGTGAGAATAATGTAAAAAGTAAAAAAAAGTGAATTGAAATTGGAAGGAGGCAAAAAATAATTGATATAGTAAGTGTTTATTGTGCTTGTGCTTGTGTGAATGTGTTTTGAACATACATTTCTATTCTTGTTTGATGTTAGTTTCGTTGTTGCCATTCTTTGGACTAAACATTTCGTCTTTTGTGTTCCTTTACTTTCCCCTGTTATTCTCTTTTTTTTGAGCGCATTTTGCTTACGCTCTGGCATTTGGACACTTTTCAGATTTTAGTCCAAAAAGATAAGGAATGACCATATTACTATACTATAATTAATCGATTTAAAGGAGCTTCAAATTTCAAAGGTGCTAGGCTTTGAGTGATCGCTTGTGCAAGCAGACAGCTCGAATCGAATTACGGTATGGTGAAGACCGAATAGTATAGAAGAGTATTTGATAAAAAAATGTTTTAAAAACCACTTCAAATAAAGTCGGTTGTGAGTGCCATAGAATATCGCCATTATTTTTTGCGACACTCGGCGCAATCCTTGGAACTTAACTCTGGTATAACCTGGAAGAATGGTACGGAAATAGTCACAAAACAACCCAATAATTGGTGGACTTGATTGAAAGCCGTTATTAAATAAAAAATGACTTGCCACAAAAACTTATTTTAGTTATGAAAATCGGTCTAATTATGATGGATTCAGTCATAGTCCCGAACAAAACATGAACTTTAATTTTACTCAAAGAAAATTTTCAAATCGTTTAAAGTTTATAACGGTACTATTTAGCTAGTCAAAAACAAATATCGCAGTTTTCATTTGCTGTGTTCCTGTGGTTGAGTGTGTGAAAATATACCCCTATATTAGCTACCATTGTTTTAAAGAAATCACAAGAATTAAACATAGACATATACACACCTTATTATACTGTTGCTTTAGCTTACTTGTGACAAATAGGTAGGTATGTAGTGTATACAGACGCATCTACAAAACAACATCACACATATGTATATGTTTTTACAAAGATGTACACACTATTTTACGATTTGTTAAATATTTAGTGAAACACTATATATGATATTACGCATGTGATGGATGTTAAATAACATTTTTTATATCGATATTTTGTAGTAGCACTTGTAAAATTCATATTACATTATATATTGATTATCTTTTACTGTTTTTGCTTAAGTATTTTTAAAATTTAGATGCTGCATTTTAGAAAGTGTGTTTAATTATAAAAGCTTTTTCTGGAGGTGGTGATTGAATTTGGCTGGAATTGTTGTGCATAAAACAATATGAAAAGGACCAATGTTCTCCTCTTCACCACTCTTGCGGCTTATTTGTAATTTAGTTTTTTTTTTTTGTTAGCTACGTTAGCTTTTTATTATTTACTAATCATTTGAACGGACTTTTCGCAATGAGCCACGGTTGAATTTACAAATTGACTCTAAGAGTGCTGAGCGCGTGGGCTCACTGCCTTGTTCAGTGTCTATTGAAATATTTGGCGACGACGCTTGGCGTTCGACATTTGCTAATAAGGTAGGTTGCTTTGACGAAGAATGTTGTTGTTGCTGCTGCTTTTCGTGTGCTGTGCTTTGTTGTTGCTCAAAGGGTGGAGCTAGTGTGAAAATAAATATTTTTATTTTATTTTACAAAGGCATTTTAAATTTAATTGACATACATTTAATATCAACAAATTGGGATGTAGCAGCTGTACTTAATTCTCTTGGCATATGCATACTTAGCACGCTATCAGCTCGCTCGAACGGTGCAGTATCACCGCTGGTGCTGCTAGCAAATGCGGTGAGCGCAGCAGAGCCGCTGGCAGCGGATAGTGATAGCCGCCCGTTACCTGCTTGCAGCGATCCTTGTTGCTTCAATTTTGACTGTTTATGCTCAAGTTTCTATAAGAAAAAAAAATTAATCATATATTAATCAATAATATTTTTATTTTTATTACAAACCGCTTTTTGTTTTGATTTTCGCTTCTCTTCCTCTGAACTCATCATTTCCTGCACACGCACAATGCGCTTTTGATTTTTTACAGATTTTTGTTCGTCCCGCAGCCTTAAATCAGATTTTTGAGCAGCCTGTTTTAAAATTTCCTTAGCATTCAGCGACAATTTAAAATGTGTCCTCCTGGAATCTTCATTACAGCAGCTAAACCCGCCAGCAGCACTACTTGCATGCTGTGCAAAGAACTGGTGGCCAATTAGTTGTTGTAGCGACGGTAAGCCAGCTCTTACCGCTTCTTTTGATAATATACTCTCTAATAAGTTCTCTGCAATTATAAATATCGAAAATTTGCCTCTATAAAATCATACATATATATGTAAATAACGTATTGACTACTCACTTAAAGTTTCGGGACATTCGGTGATTTGGCGTGCTACAGACTCTTGCAAGGGATAGCCCATGGCCATTTCGAAAAGTACATGACCAAAACTGTACACATCTATATTTTCCACAGAATGAATTTTACTATGTTGTACGAAGAACGGTCGATAAAAAGCGGGCACGCCTAGTAGATAGTTTTCGATATCCAATAATTTAACACAATCATCCACAATCACGATGTTTCCAGCGTGCAAATGACCTTGTCAAATTAAGAGAATCATATGCATTACCAAAAATAGAATTGCGAATCAGATATTTGGCTTAACATACCGTATGGATATCCCTTAGAATGAATAAAGATTAAAGCCTCCAATATTTGACGTCCATAGATCGCTACTTGTTTCATGGTGAGTGCAGTTCTGCCCTTTGGATTGCCGTATTTACTAAGAAATGGGTTTTTTGGCGTGGCCATACAAAGTATATCTTTCAGAGTGCCTTGCTTGTAAAACCTATAAGAAACATGATCAAAAACAAATTGTTAATACACCTGCGTTACAGCTATATATGTATGTGCAATATTAATTGTACTGCATTATTACCTCCGCACAACTATGCTACCGTTCTCGTTATGTGCCGCATACACAATCGTTTCGATGTGAGGATGCTGCAAGCCCATTAGACTTTTTAAAATGCTACCCAGTTCCTTGTCGTCTACATATTTATCGGGGCCATATTCGATCCACTCCAAAACAAGCTCCGATGGATCCACGTTACCTCCATCTATAGAGCCGCTACTACTACCGCCCCCGCCGCCATTACTACTCGACGTTGCAAAATGTTTACCTTGGTGTGACTGCGAGCCACTTTTCACAAGTAACTTGTTTCCAGTCTTTTCCGGTGGTTTCGGTGATACTTTGAAGTAGTGTTTTCGTAATCGCCAACCTATTGGCCCAAGTGTGCTACCCAATGTCCAAATACCTTCGCTGCGCAAGCATAGCATGGCATTTTGCACAGCCTGATCTAAATATAGGAATGATAAAATGATATTAAAATATGTACATAAATAGGGCAATTCATCTAAACGCGTAAAAGCCTCATATCCACGTAAAACTCGTGAAATTGTTTAATAGTGTACGGAAAACCGGTTTATTTACGAGGTTTACACAGTTACGAGGCATTTACGCGTTTGTTGTTGTTGTTGTAACAGCATACAAATTCCCCAAAGAGATTTTGGGGAGTAATGCTGGAGTGACAGTCCTTGGCCAGATATAAATCTGGGTCGTTCCGGTTACGCGTTTATATGAATACGCTGTGCATTTATAAATTTTTAATTTGGTAGATATGGCTTTGAGAGAGTCAACTAATAGAAAATTAAAAACTAATAAAGCTTTTCCGAAAAAATGTAAAATAAGACTTTTGCATTGATCGTGTAAAGTTTAATATAAGCGCATGTAGTTTTAATTAACCTATAAATAAGCTAGTCACCTAGAAACATTTTCATAAAAATAGGCTATATAATAATAAGTAATCAATTCATACAATTTGCAGGTACACAGTTCTGTGAGCATACTTATCAAATTATAGGCTTGCGAGGAATTATACATATATACGTATGTAGTATGTACATTTGCATAATACGCAGAAAGCAACAGATGCTCATAATGGGTTGCAATATTACAAGTATGACGTGTTCGTTTCGACATTAAAATCGCAAAAACAACATACCTACAAACTTCGGCTCCTGGAATATAAAATACACTTGCATACGTAGATATGCCAAGTTCGAGTGCAATTATTACCATCTAAATACATGTACATATGTACATACATATACAATGCATATAATATTTCTCATAATGTAAATAATTTTTGTATACACAAATGCGCGCGCTGTACGCATTCAATATATCATATGGGATTGGGTGTGTGCCCTATCACATTTCCTACTTTAATCCAAATCACATTAATGACTCCCTAGTTACTCATATTCAATTATGAACTTTCAGAAAAGCATAACCTAGAAACTTACCATGAAAGGATTGAGAGTAGCTGTCCGGATCGACAAACCGTTTGGCCGGCAACGATGATGCCAAAATGGGATTCATTAGAACTGCGTTTATGTAAATCTGTAATGCTTGTCGCCTTTCAGCTATGAAATCTGGCCGCATATTACCGAAAAGCCGTTTGCCTGGCATGGGCAGATCGATACCTGAAATGCAGAGGCATTTGTGCAACTCGGCGAAGTCATTGTAGCGGCGCAAAATTTTCCAAGAGTTTTCCTTATTAGTGCCCCGCTGCAACCGCAGTAAATACTCCTAAAATGAAAAAATAATGTTGGTGCACGTTATTTACTTCTTTGTTTTCAATGGACATATGTAGGTATAAGCAGATATTTTTTTTTTTTGCTTGATGGTCTGATTATACCCCTCATCCTCTTTTTCGTCCTTACGGCGACAAATACTATTGATTTTTCTATGACTTATGCACTTGTGCATACAATGTACGTGCAATATTGAAATCTTCAATTTGATTAAAATTTGTTTTAATTACCGTATGACCGTTCACTTCCTGTGCTGTTTCAATTACGCAAATTATGGCCTGTGTATCATCGAGTTTATGATTATAACCGAAAGGTCTCTCAAATATTGCCATTGGTCATCCAAATAGTGTACTTCGAATATGGATCCATGTTCAAAGCCTTTAATCCATTCCAGGCGTGCTTACGCAGCCAAACCCTTTTATCGGTTTTATTTTCACAGTTTTATCAGTATTTAATCAAACAATTTCAGGAATCATTAAATTGGAAAAGTTTATTGGAAAACCTGC